TCTCTGTACAAAATAAAATATATTTTTAAAAGCAACTGCCTTTAACAGCACCGTGGAATTTCCTAGCCCGTCCATGTCACTGTTCCTTTTCCAAGTCATCGGACGCCAAACAGACTATTATTAATACGACTTAAAACATGATTTCTACCCCATTTGGCTCCTGGAAATGCCTGGCTGATAAAAGGACACGCGTTAATTTCTAGATGTTAAAGGGTCGAGACCATTGCTGAATGCCATCCTGCTCGGAAGGGCGAGAAGCCCTCCGTGTCTCCCTCTGCGAAAGGTCACTGCCATTTACGCTGAGGAAGTGTTTATGGATTTGTGCACGAGGACCTCTCTGCAGGGAAGTTCCTCGCAGCCTTGTGTGTACGTGGACACAACTGGAAGCTCCTTGAGCCACAAAAGGCCGGGGGGGGGGGGGGGAGGACTGGTCACGCAGACCATGGTACATGCATGACTGGCTACAGTAGCGTAGTTAAAAAACAAATTGCAGCCCAGCCGCGGTGGCTTGGTGGTTGAGTGTCAACCTGTGAAAATCGGGAGGTCCCGGTTTGATTCCCGGTCAGGGCACATGCCTGGGTGGTGGGTTCGATCCTCAGTGGGAAGCATGCAGGAGGTAGCTGATCAATGATTCTCTCTCATCACTGATGTTTCTCTCTCTCTCTCTCTCTCTCTCTCTCTCTCTTTCCCTCCCTCCCTCCCTCTCCCTTCCTCTCCGAAATCAATAATAAAAAAAACACACACCACACATATAAAAACAAATTGCAGACAACCATTAAGTGACATAAGAAAACATCTCTCTATATAAAAGCCTAAGTGACTAGACCACTGGATGGTAGCTATGATGCACATTGACCACCAGGGGGCAGACACTTGATGCTGGAGCTGCCCCCTGACGGTCAGTGCTTCCACAGGGGGAGCGGCACTCAGCTGACCATTGGGTGCCAGATGCCAGGCTCATGGCTGGCGAGCGCAGCTGTGGCAGGGAGCGCCTCTCCTGCCTCCGTGGCTGCGCTACCAAGCCCACAGGGAGTCCCTAGGAAGAGGGGTGGGGGTGGGGGAGTTAGGAGGGGGCCTGGCCTGCCTGGGGGATAAAGAAGGGCTTCTTCCAGGAAGAGATACCTGAAGGATGAGGGAACAGCATTACCAGAAGGATCGCTCATGTGGTAGCACGTGTCAGCACTTCACTTTCTGCCGAGTAACATTCCGTTGTATGACCATACCACATTTAACTCAGCCAGTCACCAGGTGACAGACATCGGGTTGTTCCTGCCTTTTGGCTGTGATGAATAATGCTGCTGTGAACCTCCCTGGACACATTTTTTTTGTGTGTGTGTGTGTGTGAACATGCTTTCATTCCTCCTAAGCAGATGATACCCAGGAGTGAAATTATGGATCATATGGCAACTCTCTGTTCCGTAGTCTGAGGACCTAATTGCCGAGAGGGTTTGCCACGGTGGCTGTATCCACCGGACGGTCCCACCGGCAGTGTAGGATTCTGATTGCTTCCCATCCTCCACATTCCTGCCGCTTGGTAGTATGTCTGTTTGACTGCCACCACCCTATTCAGTGGGAAGTGAGTGGCATCTCACTGTGGTTCTGATGTCCCTAGATTTGTTAATAAAGCAATAACGCTGCAGTCTTCTGGGGACAGGAGCCAGTCAAGCGTGGGTTGTCCCCACCTCTGCTGCCAACAGCTGTGTGACTTCGGTACCTCAAACTTCTGGCCAGTTTCCTCCTTTGTCAAACACGTCCCTTCACTGGATTCTCAAAAACATCCAATAACACACACACGGTATACAGTATGTAATGCCAAGCACCTTACCGAGAATAGTAGGATCAAAAAATATAGCTAACAACAGCAACGCAGTCCCTTAGAGCCCACAATTTTGAATGCATCTCTTATCTAAAGAGGAAAACCACAAAGCACTAGACCAGTGGTCGGCAAACCGCGGCTCTTGAGCCACATGAGGCTCTTTGGCCCCTTGAGGGTGGCTCTTCCACAAAATACCACGGCCTCGCCGAAACCGGTTTGGCTCAATGGATAGAGCGTCGGCTTGGGGACTGAAGGGACCCGGCTTCGATTCTGGTCAAGGGCATGTACCTTGGTTGCGGGCACATCCCCAGTAGGAGGTGTGCAAGAGGCAGCTGATGGATGTTTCTCTCTCTTCGATGTTTCTAGCTCGCTATCTCTCTCCCTTCCTCTCTGAACAAAATCAATAAAATATATTTTTTTAAAAATACCACGGCCTGGGCGAGTCTATTTTGAAGAAGTGGCATTAGAAGAAGTTTAAGTTTAAAAAACTTGGCTCTCAGAAGAAATTTCAGTCGTTGTACTGCTGACTGACGAGTTTGCCGACCACTGCACTAGGCCATCGTGGGCACAGGATTACAAGGATTCGCTGAAATGACATGTCAAGGGTCAACGTTCACACAGAAACTCACTTCCTATTTTTTCTCACTTTCTCATTTTCTGATAGTGGGGACTCAAGGGACCCCCAACACAAAGAAAGGAAGCTGTTCTCCAAAGAGTCTTTTCATTGATTTTTAAGAATATATATATATATTTTTTATGATTGGCTGTCTCCTGTATGCCCCACACTGGGGACCAAGCCCACAACGTGCCCTGACTGGGATTGGAACTGTGACCTCCTGGTTCCTAGGTCAACGCCCAACCGCTCAGCCACGCCAGCCGGGTGTCAATTATTTCTTTTTTTTTTTTTTTTTTTAATTTTTTTTTTTAATTGATTTTATACAGAGAGGAAGAGAGGGATAGAGAGTTAGAAACATCGATGAGAGAGAGTCATCGATCAGCTGCCTCTTGCACACCCCCTACTGGGGATATGCCCGCAACCAAGGTACATGCCCTTGACCGGAATCGAACCCGGGACCCCTCAGTCCCCAAGCCGACGCTCTATCCACTGAGCCAAACCGGTCCCGGCTCAATTATTTCTTAAGGTAACACGTTCACAGACCGAGATGATACCTTTTAGAGGAAGTTTAGGGCAGAAGGCTCAGCCTCTTCAGGATACAAGTGAAACATCCATGGTCAAAACGAGAGACCCAGAGCATGCCCAAAGGGCGGGGCATTTTAGCTGCTTCTGCTCTCCCCCAACGTGAAACGGTGGTTATGCATTTTTCCAACCAAGAAGACAAGGGAACATCAAACACCTAAGCAGGTACCCCAGAAAAATAGGAGGAGGAGGAGGAGGAGGAGAATGGGGAGGAGTTAGGCAAGAGGCCCAAGGATACAGTCCTAAATAGTCTCTCTGTGGTAATAGGACCGCCCTGCAAGGGCCAGTTCACTCCCAGGGGATCTGCTCTGACCATCCTGCAGGCTCGGGGAGTTCCCCAGGGAAGGAAGGAGGCGAGGCAATCCCCAGGGCACGCTTTTGTGAGGGGCACACAGAGCAGCCACTCTCCAAGCCTTTGTTCTCTTCTCTGGACCGGACCCCATCAATGCCACCTGCAACCTGGCACAAGGGCCACAGGCGAGAGCTACCGAGGAGCTTATTTAAAAAAAAAAAAAAGAAGAAGAAGAAAAAAAGAAATGAAATGGATGTTTCTCTTCTCCCATGTTTTGTCCACCAGACTCCCATCAACCAGAGCCTCTCCTCCCCGTTACCTCTGTCCATCACACTCACAGACCAAGCGTCCACGGAGGCCTCTGACCCAACCTTTGTCCACCATCATTCGACACATGCATGCCTTCCAGGGCACAGGTGAGCCTGTCCTCCATTCCCCCCCCCCCCCTCATCTTTTAAGGATGGGAGGTAAACTGGTCCCCTTTGGTTGGCCGATCAGCTCTCTTAATCTGAACAACAACAACAAGCCATGCTCAAAATCAACATTTAGTACTTTTTTTTTTTTTTGGTTTGGTTTCTGCTCGTGGTGGCTAACCTGCCTCTACTTCCTAATTTTTGGCCCGTCGAGACAAGCCTTCTTAGAGGAAACGGTACTCGGTCCCCTTCCCTCCAGAGAAGGCCCCAGCAGGAAACGAGAGACCCCTCTCCACATCCCAGAGTAAGAGCTATGCATGCGGGGCAGCACTCACCCTGGGCTGGTCCCCCTGAGCAGGCCCGGCGCTCTTCCCCGTGCTCCTCTGCAAAACGACCAGCTCCCCCCCCCCCCCATCACCGCACTCGCTGCAAACATGACCGTGGCTGGAGTCACCTACAGCCCAACCCAGTTTCAAAACACTGGGGTTTGTAATAAGACAGAAACTTTTTTTAAAGAAGAAAAACATGGAAGCGAGAAAAGGGTGGGGAACAAGAGGGCAGGCTGGCCAGCATCCGCCCCGGGTGGAAGGCCCCTGCGCTGGCCACCCTCCCGGTCACCTTCGTCCTGCGTGGCTCCACAGGTGGTCCCCCCAAAATAAGCACGGACTCCTCAACAACAGGCCTTCCTCGTGGATCATCTGTCTTCCACGGTCCACCCCCCCCCCCCGCCGCCCCGAGACCGGGGCCCTCCCTCTGGACGCGCGTGGGCAGGGGCCCAGGGGCCCGATCCTCCCCCAGCCCGCCGGGGCGCAGCGCGCACAGCGCGGGTGGAGGCGGAGGCCGGGGCCGCGGGGAGGTCGGGTTTCGCAGCTCCAGCGCCGCGGCCCGGGCGGCTCTTCCGCCTCCCTCTTCCCTCCTCCCCGCCCCGGACTCGGGTTCGAGCGGCGGCCGGAGGAGAGGAAGCCCCCAGGGAACTTCTGCCCGCGTTTCCATCAGGGGGCGGGAGGCGGCGCACAGAAGCGGCTGGAGCCACTGGGGACCTGGAGGGAGGTCCCAGGAAGCCGGGGCCCGGGGCGGGGGCTGCACAGGCTGCAAACTTTCCGTCTGGAAAGCTCCCTCCTCCACCCGCCCGCGGCGCGATGCTCCTGCGCGTCCCCCCGGCTCCAGGCTCCAGGCACCCGCCGCGCCCGTCCCCGGACCCGGACCCGGACTCCTCCCTCCCTCCCTCCCTCCCTCCCGGGGCCGCCCCGGGGACCCCGGCCCCGCGGCCCCGCCTCTTACCATCTGCGCCACCTTCAGCAGGGCGCCGTGGGTGCGGGGGTACACCGGGTCCACCAGCCCCTCCGAGGCGCCCGCGCCCGCGCCCGCCCGGGGCCCCGCCGGGCCCCCGCCGCCGCCGCCGCCGCCGCCGCTGCTGCACGTGGTGCGGACCAGCCCCGCTCCGTGCGACATCGCGCGGCCCTGCCCGCCGCCCGCCGCCTCCCCGGGCCGCCGCCGCGGGGCCAGATAAGGCGGGACCGGCCGGGGGCGGGGCGGGGCGGGGCGGGGCCCCGGGGTGCGTCCCGGGGCCGTGGGAGGGCGGGGCCCGCCCAGCTGTGGCCGCGGGAGCCGGGGAGGGGCCCTGTGGTCCGTCCTAAGTGGGCAACGCCGGCCCGTAGCTGGGACCCAGCTCCCTGGGGTGGTGGGTGGGTGCAGACGTGTGCCAAGAGCACCGACTTCGTGGAAGTAGAACTTGCCAGACCTGTCGTGTGTGCAGCTCCGTTAACTTTTCTGTGTGTGTGTGTGTGTGTGTGTGTGTGTGTGTCTACCCCTCTGTGTAACTAGCACCCAGATTGACCAATAGAACACGCCCATACCCCAAAAAAGTACCGTGGTGCTCCTTCTCCGTCTGCCTTCCTTCACAGCACCCCCTTTTCTGCCAAGCCTCAGGGAACCAAGATAGTATTTATTTATTTATTTATTATTTTATTTATTTATTTATTTATTTATTTATTTATTTATTTATTTATTTATTTATTTTTGCACTATAGTTTTGCCAGTTCAATGCCAATGGGAATCCCCAAGTTGGGGTTCAGTGAAAAAGGAAACTTTGAGGTTTTTAAATAAATAAATAAATATATATTATTGATTTTTTTTTTTACAGAGAGGAAGAGAGAGGGATAGAGAATTAGAAGCATCGATCAGCTGCCTCTTGCACACCCCCCCACCAGGGACATGCCCGCAACCAAGGTATATGCCCTTGACCGGAATTGAACCTGGGACCTTCTAGTCCGCAGGCCCAGGCTGATGCTCTATCCACAGCGAAAAAAGGAAACTTGAATGGATGCAAACAGCTGAATGGGTGATACAGCTGGGTTGAGAGAGCAGCATGGCTGTGGGACAGCGCAGGGGAGTTACCGCTCAGTGATGAAGCAGCAAGGCTGGGAACAGCGAGGTTGTCAACACATGGCTGTTTGGATGTCCTGAGGGGTGCTCTTGTTCTTACCCCCCCCTTCCCCTCAGGCGTTTCATCTTCAGTTTCAGCTCTAGCCAAGTCAACACCATTTCCAGTGGAAAGGGAAAGTGCCATCTCGGAGCCAGAAGGGAGCTGACTTATATGGACCCAAGTCCCAGACTGGGGTCCCCAACTGGTCCATGCTCATGCACATCCCCACAGATTGGTCCAAAAGGCACTCACTGTCCTGACTGGTCAGAATGGAGCCTCTCTGATTGGTTTGCTGAAGATGCTGATGGAGAAAACCTCAGGCCTATTGGTTGAAAAACAATTCTAGGAACTCTTTTTTTTTTTTTTTTCTTCTTTTTCTTTAAAAGAATCTTTCCAAAAATCAGGACTTTTTTAAAACACCGCAGGACAAGGAACAAATTGTTAAAAAATGGGACTGTCTCTCCAAAAGCGGGACGTCTGGTCACCTTCCAATATACTTGAAATAATACTCAGTAATCTATTTGTGCCTGGCTTCTTTCACTCAACACACAGTTTTTGAGACACATCCTGTTGTACCCAATAAAGTTGCGACGAGCCTTCTGGAAAGATTTTTTTTCAGTGGACATAAACTGTCCTTTCTTTGGGGTAAATACTGATGAGTAAATTTGCTGGGTCACAGGTTGAGCCTATGTTTACCTCCATTGGAAGCTATCAAACAGTTATCCAAGGAGCATATTATGTTGCACTCCTTCATTCTGAGTTATTTCTTAATAACCACACAAGATATGTATTTATCAGTTTTCTTTTTCTTTTTTTTAAAAATCAATCTTTATTGTTCATATTATTACAAAGGTTCCTCATTTCTTCCCCCCTCCACCAGGTTCCCACCCCACCCTCCGCCCCCTCCCCATCCCCCATTGTCCTCATCCATAGGTGCACAGTTTCTGTTCAGTCTCTTCTTCCCTCCCTTTCCCCGACAGTAAGTCCCTTTTCAGATAGTAAATCAGTTACTTAGCATTTTCTCATATCAATAATACCTCCATATGCCCAATGATACACTTCACACAAAAGACATTTCCCAATAGGTCAACTAGCCTCATCCAGGCCCCACCCAAGGCACTCACAGATCAACACCCCAGCCCTATACTAACTCAACACTATCAGTTTTCTTTTTGAGCAGAGTGTCCCTGTGGCCAAACTTGTAACTTTATTTGGAGATAACATTAAAAAAAAAAAATCTCCCTTATGAGATCACTGGATGCCAGAGCTATGCTGTCATCAGAAGACTGTCGTCAGCGTGGCCGTCTTGGTAGCTCTAGAATGTGGAGCCTCTGTTTTGACAAGCCTCTCAAAGGATTCCAGTGAGTGCTCCAGTCTAAGAACCAGTCATGACAAAGTTTGAGACATTGTTAATTTTCATGACCAAAAAAAAAAAAAAAAGAAAGAAAAAAGTCTTTGATATCTGTCTTCTCTTTAGACAGCAGTCGTGGTGCCTGGTATAATCATTTCTTTCTCTGTAAAAACAATGATCATGGCACCGAGGGGCTGCTGGGGCAATGGGAGAGATACACAGGCATTCTGGAACATCCCCAGCCCTGTGCCCCAGGCATGCCGTTGGCATTGTGGGTGATCTTTCATGTAGATTTACATTTTCCTCGAGTACTTGTCTCGGGCGTCAAAACCCCACCATGGAGATGACAGGGAGTTTTTGTTGCCATGGGAAGCGGGAAAACCAAGCACTGGGTCATTTCTACTCCGCCCGGTGGTCTTCATCCAATTCTCCAGTAACCTTCTGAGTCACCGATCCTCAATGTATGCTCACCAGGACCAGAAGCACCTGGGAACTTGCGGTTCATGCAAATCCTTGGGTCCCACCCAGGCCCGCTGAATCAGAAACTCCGGGCGTTAGGCTCAGCAGAGTGCTTTGGTAAGCTGTCCCCCCATCGCCCCTGTGATTCAGATGCATGCTGGAATCTGAGAACCACTGTCATTTCCTGAGCCCCCTGGAGTTACACTTGGCTGGGTGTCTCTGGCTGCTGTTGGCCAATGGGCCACCAACCTAGATAGGAAATGATCACTGGGGATGGCCTCTTGGTTAAGTTAATCACTTAAAAGCTTGATCGAGGTGCTTGGCAGTACCAGGACCATGTACGAAGGCTCCATGGATTAGACCTCTAGACCAGTCAGCAAGCACAGTCCCGCCAGCCATGGAGAGGAACGCCAGATGGCCCACCACCTGGCCAGCACTTGAGTATCGCAGTCTTTTCCATCTTAACCATTCTAGAGGGTGTGGCATAGCATCTCACTATAGTTTTAATTGGGGGGGTTGGGGGGGAAGCACCTTTGAGTTATTTCTAAGCCCTTTCATTCTGTTCGGAGTTTAGCTTTGATCCTCACTCTGATCGTCCATGTTCTTTGGCCAACTCACTTCCAGAGAGGGAAGCCACTGTTCCAGAGTAACCACGTGTCTTTGAGACACAAGGCGGAGTTCTCATTCAGTCCAAACCCTTACAGGCCAGATGGTTTCACGTCCCTTCTTCACACTCAGGTCATGAAAACTTCTTTGAGAATTCATCCTTCCAGCTGCTTCTCTTTCTGGGGCCTTCCCAGGCTATCGCCAGCCTTAAGCAACAGCCTCAGCAAGGCGGGAGTCACCTCTCAAACGTTCCCTTTTCTACCCTTCTCCTGACAACTAGCCTGGTGCTACAAGTCCATTTGTCCTGTCATTCCTGCCATCTGCCTGAGGCCCTTTGGTGACTTACTATTGGGAAGAAAACCAGAGCCAAGATCTTATGCCTTTGCCTGAAAGCCACTTGCCAGAATGCTCTGGGTGTTGGTTTGGATACCCACTGTTGCAAGTAACAGAAATTCGTTAACCAAAGTGCATATAATTAATTGCTCCTATCATTGCAAAGTCCAGAGTGTGCCTGCATTCTGGCCTGAATGCTTTCAGTGGCTCCGGGACATAATCATGGTGACGTTTCATCTCTTTTCTTTTCAGTCACCTTCATCCTATGACTGGCTTCCCCTTGTGGTTACAATATAGTTTTTGCCAACAACTTCCTGCCTATATCCCAGTGGGTCCTACAGAACTTCTTTTCCAGAACTCCAGAGCAAGTCTTGGGTTCAACATCCCATCCTTGAACCAATCGGTATGGCCAGGAAGTGGGATTCTTTAGGCAGAGCCCCATGGTCCATTCCTAGAGTCACAGTGGAGTTAGCTTCCTCAAGAAGCTGGGGCTTATGTGGGTGGTGTGGATCCCCAATAAAAGAGGGTAGTTAGATAGCAGGAGGAGGGAGAAGAGAGGTGGGTGAGATAGTGATAAAGTCTGTTCTGTTCTGGATGCTGTTATTCTGAGTATCCTATTTTAAAAATCTGCTTGTGACATGAATGGCTACTCAAAACATACCTTTTAAGTGAAATGTCGCCTCGGTAAACAACTTGTTTGCCACTCGCTATTCCTGTGTCTGAACAGTCATCACCTCTGTGTTTGCCAAGCACTTTCCCCCAAACCTTGCCTTCTTTTAAATAGACACCAAACACCTACATTTACGTACTCCCTAACTTACAACAATCCATAGTTGAATTTTTGCTGTTGTCCTAAGTCATCAACACTGGGACCTTTATCTGACCTTCCTTCTCAGCTGTGGGCTTGCAATTCACCTTGGGCAGAACTTCGCCAGGAGAACTTACGTGATACCCAGTTCACAAACATTTCTCAGGTTACCACCTTTCAGTGTCTGTGTGGGAAACTAGCCTTACCTGCCCAGATCATTTTTTTTTTTTCTGTGAAAAATCATCTTTCAACTAAAATAATAATTGTCTAGGGCAGTGGTCAGCAAAACTCATTAGTCATCAGAGCCAAATACCAACAGTACAACGACTGAAATTTCTTTTGAGAGCCAAATATTTTAAATGTAAACTTCTTCTAACGCCACTTCTTCAAAATAGACTCGCCCAGACTGTGGTACTTTGTGGAAGAGCCACACTCAAGGGGCCAAAGAGCCGCATGTGGCTCTCGAGCCAGTTTGCCGACCACGATCTCGGGGACAGAAATATAAACTGAGTGGATTTTTTCCTAACCAGGGAAAAATTTTTCAGTAAGTGTTTTTTAAAAAAAAAAATATATATTTTATTGATTTTGTACAGAGAGGAAGGGAGAGAGATACAGAGTTAGAAACATCGATGAGAGAGAGTCATCGATCAGCTGCCTCTTGCACACCCCCTACTGGGGATATGCCCGCAACCAAGGTACATGCCCTTGACCGGAATCGAACCCGGGACCCTTCAGTCCCCAAGCCGACGCTCTATCCATTGAGCCAAACCGGTTTCGGCCAGTAAGTGTTTTTAATTGTCTGTGTTCTTTGCAGAGACACTTTATGTATTTTAAATCTTTAGTGTGCTGATACCCTGAAGGGATTTCCCTAGGAAGGAAGCAATTAAAAAAAAAATAGACAAAAAAATAATTGATGTTGAACGTTTTTGTATCTGGCTTCCTTGTAGTTTTCAAATATTGTCTAAATATTTATCTTTGGGGGCTATGAGTTGGAAACAGCAATGGAGAGGGATGAAGTGCCTAAAGCATTTCATTGATGGGCCATGAGTAGGTCAAGTACATTAAATAAAAACCCCCACCCAACTCCATCAGAGAAACAGTGCTGGTTTGAAAGGGCTGCTTGGTGCATGTAGACAGCTCTTTAGTACTTACTACCCCTATTTTCATGTTTGTTTGGTTTTAAAACCCAGAAACCGATTCCTCTCGTTATGTTGGCCGTGCCACATGTGGCTTGGTTTTTATTTTTTTCTTCTTTCTTAAGAGAAAAATTAATGCAAACCCAGTTAGAAACTAACAGCTTGGTCTGAACTAGAGCGACTCAGTCTGCTGTCCAAAAGGCCTCACTTAAAAAAAATTATTCTTTGAACAAAGTCGTATTCAAAAGAGGAAATAATAATTTCCTTTCAGTTAAAAATAAGTGCTGTTTTTTTGTTTTGTTTTGTGTTTTGGTGAACTTTCAGGACAACACAAAGGGCCATGCTCCTTAAAAACCACAAATGAGGACAAGACAGCAAGTGACCCTGCCGGGACACAGGGAGTCATTGTTCTCCTGGATCAGGTGTGTCTGGCGCTATCGGTTCAAGAAAGACCTAGTGTTGTAGTCCATTTGGAAGACATTTCTAAGTGGTTTATGGAACTTTTTTTTTTTTAAATATATTTTATTGATTTTATACAGAGAGGAAGGGAGAGAGATAGTCAGAAACATCGATGAGAGAGAGTCATCGATCAGCTGCCTCTTGCACACCCCCTACTGGGGATATGCCCGCAACCAGGGTACATGCCCTTGACCGGAATCGAACCCGGGACCTTTCAGTCCCCAAGCCGACGCTCTATCCATTGAGCCAAACCGGTCCCGGCGGTTTATGGAACTTTTAACCCCAGAAGTTGCGGGCAGGATCATAGAATCACACTCACATGGGGAGAAAGGGGAGGGGGAGGGAGGGAGAGAGAGAGAGAGAGACATAAGAACAGGCTTCTTTCTTTATGACTGTTTTCCAGAAACAGATCTTTGTAGGTTAGTTTTTCTGCCTTTTATGGAGACTTGATTGCAATGGTCCTATTATACAGACTTTGTAAATTAGTAATCCACACATGAAACCTCTATGTTCATGTTGACTAATGTCACCCCAATAAAAATTTTAAAAATATATTTTTTATTGATTTTTTTTACAGAGAGAAAGAAAGAGGGATAGTTAGAAACATCGATGAGAGAGAAACATCCATCAGCTGCCTCCTGCACACCTTCTACTGGGGATGTGCCCACAATCCAGGTACATGCCCTTGGAATCTGGGACCTTTCCGTTGGCAGGCCGACGCTCTATCCACTGAGCCAAACCAGTCGGGGCCTAATAAAAAATTTTTAAAACATTAAGTACTTAAAAAGGGAAGATGAAGATGCCTCTGTGAGTGTGAGAGATGAACAGAGCAGAGCACACACACTCTGATGAGTTATTTCTGCTTTCCTTGTGAAATGAATGAACGGGGGACATAGCTTCAAAACAATCCCAGCCCCAGTCATCTGTGGCTCTGCGTTGCTAAGGTCAACCGTCATGGCTTGTTCGATGTTGCACTCAGAGTGGCCTCCTGTGCCCCCAACACAAGGTGACCAGACGTCCCGATTTTTAACCATTTGTCCCACGCCCCGCAGCATTTTTTAAAAAGTCCTGATTTTTTAAATCCAAAAATTTTAAATTTAAATTTAAAAATTTTTTAAGTCCAAAAATCAGGACTGTTTTCACCAAAAGCGGGACGTCTGGTCACCTTACCCAACACCCACCCATTCCCGCACATCCGTACCCTACCCCACCTCTCATGTGTGGTGCCCTCTGCCCATGACCTCTTTGGACCCACAACTCAGGAACATTTTTCACTGGTTCCTCCAAAAGCCTGGGTGGGTGTTACCAGACACTGAAGAAATCCCACCTCTCCTCTAGAGGTCAGCGGGACCTGGATTCGGGGTTAGAATCAGGTTAAGCAGGAAGACCAACGCAAACAACAGACAACAGAAAGCAGCCCGGCTGGTGTCGCTCACGGCTGAGCATCGGCCCAGGAACCAAGAGGTCACCGCTCCAATTCCCGGCCAGCGCCCGTGCCCGGGTTGAGGGCTTGATCTTCAGGGTGGGGCATGCAGGAGGCAGCCAATGAATGATTCTCTCTCATCATGGATGTTTCCATCTCCCTCTCCCTTCCTCACTGTAATCAATTTTATTTTATTTTATTATTGCTTTTTAAAAAATATATTTCATTGATTTTGTACAGAGAGGAAGGGAGAGAGATACGGAGTTAGAAACATCGATGAGAGAGAGTCATCGATCAGCTGCCTCTTGCACACCCCCTACTGGGGATATGCCTGCAACCAAGGTACATGCCCTTGACCGGAATTGAACCCGGGACCCTTCAGTCCCCAAGCCGACGCCCTATCCATTGAGCCAAACGGGTCCCAGCACTGTAATCAATTTTTAAAAAAATATGTAAAAATAACACAAACAGAAAGCAACAGCTCTGTTAACTGAGAGCAGAAGAGCAGAGGTCACAGGATCACGTCCGCAGAGCGGGAATGTGGCTGAAACCCGCTCCACTGTCATCCACTCGACTAACGTTTCTGTGGTTTTTTGTTTTTCACAAGAAGCTCGTGTTGAAAAATCACCCGAGATACACTGCGGCAGCAAGAGCCCTCTCGCCGAAGGGCACTTCCTCTCGGGGCACATCTGCCTTGTGGCGAGCAACCACATGTCAGAGCAGGAGTGCTGGAGCCCCAGCCCGTTTGGCTCAGTGGATAGTGTCAGTCAGCCTGTGGACCGAAGGGTCCCAGGCTGGATCCCATTGTGGGGTGTGCAGGAGGCAGCCGATCAAGGATTCTCTCTTATCATTGATGTTTCTAGCTCTCTCCCCCTCTCCCTTTCTCACTGAAATCAATAAAAATATATATTAAAAAAAAAAAAAGAAGAAAAATGCCGGAACTGGTTTGGCTCAGTGGATAGAGCATTGACCTGCGGATTGAAGGGTCCCAGGTTCGATTCTGGTCAAGGGCATGTACCTTGGTTGCAGGCACATCCCCAGTGTGTGGGGGGGTGCAGGAGGCAGCTAATCGATATTTCTGTCATCAATGTTTCTAACTCTCTATCCCTCTCTCTTCCTCTCTGTGAAAAATCAATAAAATATATTTTTAGAAGAAGAAGAGGAAGAAGAAGAGGAGGTGGAGGAGGAGGAGTAAGAGGAGGAGGAGAAGGAGGAAAGCAGAAGTGCTGGAGATTGGAGGCGAGAGCTTCCAGTCTGCTATTTCCCACAAAATATGGTCCATGTGTCACTGGTCAGCAAGAGGACCTGAAGGTACATGTGAGTATTTATCCTTTTAATGGCTATGCACTGATTTTTAATAGGTACCAGGAGCAAGAGTACCACTCACACATCACTCACTGGACTCAGCCGCACGCCCAGGCCAGTGTCTCCTTCGGTGCTCTCCGGACCATGATGAGCACGTGAGAATCATGGACACCAACGATCCCCAGAACTGGGGAGATGGCTCTCTCCTGCCCCCTCAGCCTAGCGGCCATGGACAAGTGTCTCATAGCCATATCGTACCTGGACAGCCCTGAGAGGATGAAGGAGAGCAGTCCACCTTGGTCTCCTTCCCCAAATCAACACAACATCATCCAAGATTTTGAAACATTTAATCGAAAAAAAAAAAAAATGTGGCATTTTAAAAGTTAAAATTTTATAAACTTGACACATTCTTCATGTTAGCATGTTATCCATGTACACATCATCTAAGAAAATAATAATAATAATTACAGTCTACGAAGACACCTGACAAGATCTTGAAGAGGTCATTACACTCTATAGAGCTCTTTGCAAATAAGAGCCCCGTTTCATGGTAACAAACCACGGTAAGCAAAATTTAACTAAGTGTATAAAAACATTAGTTAAATACAATTCTCTGGAAATGTACAGTATACCTACAGCTGTTTTTACAGAGGGAGGCTTCCTCCCTCCGCACCCCGCCCTCATAATTCTCAAAATGGCTCATCACTGGATAGTCCTGGATCTCCACGCTATGAAACTGAAATACGTGTTCCCAGCATAGCAGATGGTGACCAGGAAGGCGAAGAACTGGAGAGAACAAAGCAGAATAGACACGGGGTTAAGGGCATGTTGTAATCAGCAAACGCTATCCTTTCACCTCCATTGGATCATGCACCCACAGCATTCCTTAACTCCAGGCTTTCTTGGTTCAATCAACTTCCTTCTAAAATGATTTCTGTCTCTTTTATTATTATTATTATTATTATTTTTAAAATATATTTTATTGATTTTTTACAGAGAGGAAGGGAGAGGGATAGAGAGCTAGAAACACTGACCAGCTGCTTCCTGCACACCCTTCACTGGGGATGTGCCCGCAACCAATGTACATGCCCTTGACCGGAATCGAACTTGGGACCCTTCAGTCTGCAGACTGACGCTCTACCACTGAGCTAAACCGGTTTTGGCTCTTTTATTATTATTATTATTATTATTATTTTTTTTTTTTGGAGCATATCTGGAAAGTTTACCGTTTTGCTCAAATAACCCTGGGGTGTGACTCACTTAGGGGCGAATATGGTGGTGTGCATCTGAGAAAAGCACCTGGTATTTCCAATTCTGTACAGTAGTTCCCCTTCTCTGTACGGGATACATTCCAAGGCCCCCTATGGGGTGCCGGAAATTGTGGATTTTAAGGCACAAACCCAATCTAGACTATGTTTTTCCCTACACATATACACCTTTCAGAGTTTAATTTGTAAGTTAGGCCCAGAAAGAGGTTAATAATAGTAACTGATCATAAAATGGAACAATTCCAACAGCATTCTGTAATAAAAGTTACGTGAATGTGATATATCTTTCTCTGTCTCTCTCTCTCTCTCTTGATCTGATAACCAAGAAGGCTGCTAAGGGGCAGGGAGCTTATATGAGGGACAAAAGGATGATTCATATTCTGGGCAGGAGAGAGTGGGATGGTGTAACATACCATGACGATACTCAGAATGGTGTGTAGTTTAAAACATACAAATTGTTTATTTCTGGGATTCTTTATTTAAGGTTTTTTTTGGACCGTGGTTGACTGTGGGGATGACACACTGCAGAAAGTAAAACCACGGGGACTACTGCATGGGCCATTGTAGACCCGGGTTACCCTCGGATTCCCACGGGCTCAATTACCGTGAGTGGGTCAGGCAGCAGGAGGAAGGGATGAGCCCTGGGAGGGGTGCGGTGTGAATGGTGAGTTGGAGCAACCAACCTCCACCCAGTTGGGCAGATTCATGCCACGAGCCCGGGGCTGCCACGGGGTGGTGTTTAACCTCGTGGGCCCCGTGCTTTCTCCCTTTACCCCACCATTTGGAAACGTGGGTGAAGGATACAAGGTACACCCATGTACCATCAACCAGCTGTGACGTGACCCCTCTGGCCCTCCCCCCCTCCCCCCACCAACACCTCTTTTGCGGGTGGGATATTTTAAGGTCAGTATTAGACAAACTTTCAAAAGGAAGTTCTTAAATGAAAAATACACACTTACTGGTTTAGAATTGCACAATGTACAGCCCTAGCTGGTTTGGCTCAGTGGATAGAGTGTCGGTCTGCGGATTAAACGGTCCCAGTTTCGATTCCGGTCAAGGGCATGTACCTTGGTTGCGGGCACATCCCCAGTAGGGGTTGTGCAGGAGGCAGCTGGTCGATGTTTCTCTCTCATCGATGTTTCTAGCTCTCTATCCCTCTCCCTTCCTCTCTGTGAAAATCAATAAATATATATATATTTTTTTTTAAAAAAGGAAGCCCCTCATGCCACACTCATCACCCAGTCACAGGCCCCGAAAGGAACCTTCTTTGTGGGTGTATGTTTATTTTTCTATGCATCCTCAAGGCATCCACAGACATTCCTACGTAAAGCCAAACAAAGAGAACCGCAGCGGGCTCATTTTCTGCAAGTCTCTCCCCACTGAACGGCAGTCGGTAGAACGATTCTTGGAATGCCTCGCATACTCTTTTCTCTCTCGACTACTTACTTGATTCCAGCCATTTGGCTTTCACGCAAGCACCGCCTCACCGATTTAATATGCTTGCAAACCAATCAGCTGATTGCCAGTGTGTCCGACGGCAGGCGTCGCCTTTTCCGGAGGGAGGAGGGGCCCACTCACCGAGGAGGCCGCCCAGCTGTTGAAGTTGTGGCCGTCCCTCTCGGGGGCGACGGACGACGCATCCACGATTGCGGCCGAGAGGTACAGGACGAAGGCGCTGCCGTTAAAGCACAGGCCCTGGGGAGACAGACGCCGGGGTGTTCAGAGAGCGTGGGGAGGTCTGGGCGCCTCCGGAGCTCTGAACTGGGCGGGACTGCACCCCCGGCTGTGGGAAGGTTGCTCCTCTGGACACGTGAGGACAGGGGCTCTGAGAAGGCAGCTCCTCCGTGTTTTGGGGGAGGGGAGGGTTTTATATCATCTCCTTCACAGCGCACTCAGACACCCCTCCTTTCCCCCCAACACACTCAGGCTCCTGCAATTTGCTGTTGATCCTCATTTCATCCAATCCAGCCATGGCGATGTATTGGCTAGGGCCGGTGCCTCCAGTGAGAAGGGCCTCAGCCCACGGCCACCCTCCCCACCCCCAGCAGGCCCCTTGTTCTAGGCAGGGAGGGCCTTTAAGTCAGCTCCTCAGGCCACTGCAAGTTCTTAAACACACAGAACCGTGCCATAATAGCAGTCAGCCGCTGGGCGTCACTGCGGGTTGCTCAGGACCAAACCAGAGAGGGTCGGACTTGCATTACCACCATGTGTCCACCATCCAAACTGAAATATCATTGCTGACATGTACACATGGGGAACTGTTTGACATGGAAATTGGGTCTCATTTCAGAACTGTTGGCCCAGAAAGAAAATCACTACAGACAGGTTATGCCTTTCAGCATAACCATGATTGCTTGTCTCATTTTCGGTTCTCATAAGGGTATTTCCAGTAGGACATGACCTCACTCATCTGGGAGAAATGGTGAACAACATGGACTGAGGGACAAGAACAGACACAGAGACAAGGAGCCATGGGCCAGACGGTTGGACCTCAGAGGGAGGGTGGGGATAAAAGGGAGAGATCAACCAAAGGACTTGTGTGCATACATATGAGCCTAACCTGTGGTCAAGGACAATAGGGGGTGGAGGATGGGAATGGGGAGATGAGGACAAATAGGTGATATCTTAATCAATAAAGAAATTAAAAAAAAAATGCAGAATCGACCAATGGAGGACTACTTTCCATCCTCCCTAGTGGGCCATGGGCCCGAAGCACGCCCGGCTCCCTTACCACGGTTGTCCAGGGCACCTGGGGGATCCTGGTGTAGGTCATCGTTATGTAGACGATGAGGAAGAAGACGGTGAGGACCCAGTAAAACACGGCGACAAACATGACCCAGCCGAAGGCGGGGACCCGGAAGTACTCCGTGCCAGCGATGAGTGTCCATACCAGCAGCCCCAGGATCTGTGAAGTGATGGAGGCAGTGGGGAAGGGAGGAGGAAGGAGGAAGTAAAGAAAAAGAAGAAGACAGAGGGGAAAAAAATCATTACCGAGTGTCAGTGACATCTTTCAGCCACACACACACACACATGACTTTTACACAAGTATAATAGGGATTACAAACTAATGTACATGCCTACAAAGGCCAGGAAGGTAAAATAAATGAACATTTTATTATTTTAGGCTGGGTAGAGACCCTGGCAACCAAGAAAAACTGTCTTTTTTGTTTTGTTTTGTTTTGTTTTTAAATATATTTTATTGATTTTTTACAGAAAGAATGGGAGAGGGATAGAGAGTTAGAAACATTGATCAACTGCCTCCTGCACGCCCCCTACTGGGGGGGATGTGCCCTTGATCAGAATGGAACCTGGGACCTTTCAGTCTGCAGGCCAATGCTCTATCTATTGAGCCAAACGGTTTTGGAAAAAAAAAAACAAACACAAAAATACCTGTTTCGTTTTGCCGAGACCGGTTTGGCTCAATGGATAGAGCGTCGGCTTGGGGACTGGAGGGCCCGGGTTCGATTCCGGTCAAGGGCATGTACCTTGGTTGCGGGCATATCCCCAGTAGGGGGTGTGCAAGAGGCAGCTGATCGATGACTCTCTCTCATCGATGTTTCTAACTCTCTATCTCTCTCTCTTCCTCTCTGTACAAAATCAAATAAAATATATTTAAAAAAAAAAAAAAATACCTGTTTCGTTTTAAGGACCAATTTCTTCTCAGCTCCAATCCCCAACCTTCCTTCTCCCCCCCCTCCCGGGGTGGGGGGGGGGGAGGGAAAGACAGAAACTCAAGTTTCTACATGGTCATCTTGACTTTTATTTTTATTTATTTATTTATTTATTTATTATTTTTTTAAAATATTTTTTTAAAATATATTTTATTGGTGTGTGTGTGTGTGTGTGTGTGTTTTATAGAGTGGAAGTGAGAGAGATAGAGAGCTAGAAACGTCGATGAGAGAGAAACATCAACCAGCTGCCTCTTGCCCACCCCGTACTGGGGATGTGCCTGCAACCAATGCACATGCCCTAGACCGGAATCGAACCTGGGACCTTTCAGTCCGCAGACCGACACTCTACCACTGAACCAAACCGGTTTCGGCTATTTTTATTTATTTTTTTAAAGTACATTTTTATTGACTTCAGAGAGGAAGGGAGAGGGAGAGAAAGAGACAGAAACAGGGAGAATCATTGACTGGCTGCCGCCTGCACGCCCCCCACTGGGGATCGAGCCCGCACCCTGGGCACGTGCCCTGACTGAGAATCGAACTGTGACCTCCTGGTGCACAGACCGACACTTAACCATCGCGCCACGCTGGCAGGGGGATCATCTTGACTTTTAAATGTTGGCACTTACAAGAGTTTTAAAACGTCATGAGGGGACCTAGCTGGTTTGGCTCAGTGTACAAAGCGTCAGCCTGAGGACTGAAGAGTCACTGGTTTGATTCTGGTCAAGGGCACATGCCTGGGTTGTGGGCTCCATCCCTGATAGGGGGGTGCTACAGGAGGCAATCAATCAATGATTCTCCCTTGTCATTGATGTTTCTCTCTCTCTCTCTCTCCATCTCCCTTCTCTGAAATCAATAAAAATATATTAAAAAACAAACAAAAAAACATCATAAGGGGCAAAACAACACTCATCTGTGGCTAGCATTTGCTCACTTGATACCTGTCCAGGGAACAAGACTGCAGGCCCACTTGAGGTGGACCTGGGACTGATCGGCTCTCAGGGGATGAACCACTAAGGATTTGGCACTTGCTAGGCCGCCCCCCCTCACAGGTGGCCTGAGAGCCTTCAGAAGGGAGGCTGAGCAAGGCCGGACAAGGCACTCAGCATTGTAACACAAGCCACAGGTCTACCCAGCGGCAGTCGTCCACGCTTCACCACTGCTGAGGAGCAAGACCAAACCCAGAGCCAAACCCATGTCACCGCCGACGACAGGGGGATCTCATCGAGGGGAAGAAACGGGCCTAAATCCCAGGCACCTCTAGCCCCGAACTCAGGAAGGCCAGAGTGAGGGGCGCCTCTCACATCCCAGCGCCTTCCAAGGACCAGGAGGACTTTATTCCTGAGCCATGAAAAGTTAGCATCCAACAAAACAAGAGACAAAACAAAAACAGCAAAACAATAAGAAAAAGAAAAAGGGAAAAGTTAGTATCTAAACCATAACCCCAGGAGGCAGCCTCGGGGGGGCCCAGGACGGGTTCTGGCTGCAAGTGCCAGCTTGCTGAGCGGCTGGGGACAAAGGACTGCATTTCTGTTGTATAGGGAACAGAATACTAGAGTGCTTTTAATCACAACGCGAGGGGCGGAGCTTTCACTCCTTTGGTTGGCCACTGAGAGCACCTAACCTGTGCCTGGCTTCCAGCTTCCAGGCCCCAGGGACAGAACAGGGCACAAACTCTAGGTGAAGTGGGTGGGGAGAAGTATTTGGATTAATACAGATAGGAAAGAAATGCCATAAAGGCAAACAGAAGGTGATAAGGGACTGTAACAGGGAGCCATGGGCCAGACGGTTGGACTTCAGAGGGAGGGTGAGGCCCTTGCAGCAGGAAGGCAAGTCAGGGAAGGCCATGCTGCAGAGAGACCTGAAAAGCTGGAGGGAAGGCAACATCCTAGGCCAGTGGTCGGCAAACTCATTAGCCCACAGAGCCAAATATCAACAGGACAACGATTGGAATTTCTTTGGAGAGCCACATTTTTTAAACTTCAACTTCTTCTAACGCCACTTCCTCCAAATAGACTCGCCCAGGCCGTGGCATTTTGTGGAAGAGCCGCACTCAAGGGGCCAAAGATCCGCATGTGGCTTGAGAGCCGCGGTTTGCCAACCACTGTCCTAGCAGTATCTGACTATGGTACCCGTGATAATGAAGGGTACTTTGGGTGCTTTCCAATACTTAAACCTGTTTCTTTTCGTGTACGATCGCAATAACTAGAATCTCCAGAACCATCTTCCAGAGCACATGTGACAGCGAGCACTCTTATTTTACTCGACGCCATTGTTCACTTGGATGTTTTCCGTTCCTACGATGTCTGTTAGGAGTAGGTGGTGAATACCCTTTATCAAGCTAAAGATTCCTATTGTTTAGTGCCCGGCAAGGTCTCTACTCCATCCTCCGTCCTGAACAATAGGATAATGAGTTCCGCTGAATGCGCTTTCTGTATGTATCTCCCTTTTACCATTAAGTACAGTGTTCCCAACACGGCCAACCCTTTTGACGGCCCAGGGTCATCACAAACAGATTTCCATTATTGCCTTGTGCTATGCAATGAGAGTGCTTGCGCCTGAAAGGTACCAAATATCTATCTAAGAAGAAACATTTTTTAAAAAAACATTTATTTTTTATTTTTTTTTTTACTGATTTCAAAGAGGACGGGAGAGGGAGAAATAGAAATATCAACGATGAAAGAGAGTCATCGATCAGGTGCCTCCCACATGCCCCCTCACTGGGGATTGAGCCCGCAACCTGGGCATGTGCCCTGACCATGAATCAAACTGTGACTTCTTGGTTCATAGGTTGACACTCAACTGAACCATGCCAGCTGAACATAAGAAGAAACACTTAAAAAACACATCCATATTTTATTTATTTTTTACAGAGAGGAAGGGAGAGGGATACCTAGTTAGACACATCCATGAGAGGGAAACATTGATCAGCTGCCTCCTGCACACTCCCTACGGGGTATGTGCCTGCAAACAAGGTACATGTTCTTGACCGGAATCGAACCTGGAACCCTTCTGTCTGCAGGCCGACGCTCTATCCACTGAACCAAATCAGTGAGGGCTAGAAGAAACATTTTTAATTGAAAATAATCAATGGTCCTCTCTGGAGACTCTCAGTGAGCTGATCTCTCCACTCTCCTTTGCCCTTTGCGTTCACAGGCCCATGAACAGCCTCAGACTGAAGCGCAGATGTCTTAGACTTTTAACAGTCAAACAGGAGACACAGTACCAAGTCTGCCTGGGAAGACGCCTGTACAGCCAGTCTGTGCAGCCGGTGAGCTGCGTGACAGCTATTCTGCTGCCGAGGGGACCCGCCTGAAGGGTCTCATTGGTTCAGGTACCTTCTGAGCGTTTGCAAAGTGCCAGGGGTTTCTCTAGGCCCTGCTGGTAGGGCAGGAAACGCAACACTGCTGTAGCCCACGGTTGGCCGACGTACCTGGCGTTAGCCTTGACTGGCATGAGCCCCATGACTGCATCTGTGTTTCAGTCTTGAAAACAGACAGGTGACTCCTGACAATGAGGCTGCCCCAGGAGCTCAGCTCCAGCTGTTCCCAGCTGGCATTGCCTAGGGCAGCTGCGCTGTACCAGGCGAGCTCAGCACACCTCTGAAATGCCTCACTGGGCTTTCGATCATTTACCGAGTTGGGAATCAGCTACCGTAGAGTTACTCTTCTGTGCCCTGCGACGAGGGAACCCTACGGCATGACCGTGCCTGGCTGCTGTTCTCCTGAAGGGTGTTTCATAAAGCACACCTGGCAACGTTCATTTATTCCAAACCCTCACAGGTAGATGAGCATGAGGGGAAACAGACATGGTCTCTGCCCCTGGAGAAGGTACATCCATGGGTATCTTACCACACACTGTGACAAAGTCCTATGAAAGGAAACGGGGCTGAGAGGAGAATGTAAAGCAGAAGGGCCCATCCAATCTGCGTGGTCAGAGGAAGTTTGAGATGTAAACGAGTGGCTGCGAGTCAGCAAAATGTGTGTGGTGCAGGCAATGCTGAGACTCTGAGGCAGAGACCCCATTGGGTAATGTGAGTCTCCCATGGTGAAATGGCCTGGGAGAAATAGTCAAACTCTGAATTCCTTAAAAAAAAAAAAAAAAAAAAAATATATATATATATATATATATATATACACACACACACACACACACACACACACACACACACACATACATACAACCGAAACCGGTTTGGCTCAGTGGATGGAGCGTCGGCCTGCGAACTGAAAGGTCC